TCTCTCTCTCTCTCCCTACCGTTAAGTAACTTGTGCATTGTTTTACTTGTTTTTGACGTATCCGACCGAACTTCAAACTTTCCAGTGATGTCTGTGAGAAAGGTATATTCACTCAACAAGCTTGCGCATCTGCGCCGCCGCGCGCTCATTCCACTCAGTGTGCTTTGCTCATCAGCTCGCGCACATCAGTTATACAGGCGTTAATACTGAATGTTTAACATTATATTCATTGCATACATATACTTCGTAGACATCCTTAATCTCTAATAACTCCTTTCTGCTGTCTGTTGTTCTGTTGCCGGTGTTTCTTTGTCTGAATATGTCACTTAACACATGCTGTGTGGTATCGGCGTTTGGTATCAGGGCATTTTAACGAGTACGAGTACAGGAGCTCAGTATCGGGCCCGATACCGATACCGATACCAGTTTTGGTGCATCCCTAATAAAGAGTTTATCCTACCCAGTTGTGCGCATACGTTTTTTATTCACATTTTGAGAATTTATGCGCATCTTGGCGTTTCCATCCAGCGGTTTTTTATGCGATAATCCAAAATGTTCATAAAATAGATGGATGGAAACATAGCTAATAACTGATAAATAGACCTGTTGTGAGCTCTGAGGCTGCTATCTGATTGTATGTGCTTTATTATGTGTGGATTGTTTGGGCTTTTTTTTTGTAATTGTGAATAACAATGGAATTTGTGGTAAAAAAAAAAAAAACACACTACCCATGATGCTGCACAGTAAAGTGCACCAAAAGAGATCGTTAGCTCCGCATATAATCAAGTCGTCTACATACAGTATGCTTTCAAAATACTTTTTTTTTTGTCTGATTTTCAAATACATTTTTGCTTCAAATCAAAGTTTTTACTAGGGATGGGCGATACCACTTATTTTGTTTTCGATACGATACCGATACTTTTAAAGGTCAGTATCGCCGATATCGATACCAATACGATACTTCTAAATTATGAAATGTATTAAATTACTAAGAGTAAAATGAGTAATGATACACACTTAACTTTATATTTGAAATGCATTTTAACATTCATTGTTATTAGGTTATATTTTCGTTTACACATGGTTAAAATATGTTTACTGTAGTGGTATATGGAAATTTGCAAATACTATAGTTGAAAATGGTCACGTTAGTAAAACCATGGTTCATTTTCATAAGGGACTGCCAGTGATAGGCTGTTGCACGCATAAAATACAACCTTTTTATTCTGAGAGTATCTGATTTATTTTAACATTACAGAATAAAACATGAACAATATGAACTTTTAACGTTCAATTTAAATAAATGTAATTGCACGAACTATGTAGGCTACAATTTCAATTTGTTTATTGTGAAATAACAATAAAAATAAACCAAATCACTGGTAAATAAAATACACCTTAGTATCGATATTTTTATTTGAGTATCGATACTTTCGATACTCGAATAAGTATCGATATATATCGATACGCCCATCCCTAGTTTTTACTGTTGTGATTCTCCTCGTAGTCGGCTGGTTTGCTTCATGGTTCATAATTCTTTAACAAAAACCTTTTTAAAATCTCTCTGGGAAAAATAATTCTGGAACCAGCACTGCTGAAAAAGTGGCTGGGCACTAATGCACTCTATTACCCAGAACACCGTAGCAATGCAATATCAACATAACACATAGATCATGGCAGTTAGCATTGCACGAGCAAGCACAACTCAACTCAAAAACATTGTAAGTTGTCTCTGCACACAAGCTTTAAAGGCTGTAACCCTGCACAGAAATCTAATACAGGCTGGAGGACTGGAAAAGTGATTGTATTTAAACGAGAAGGACATCTAATGATACTTTAGAGACTTTCTGCATTGCCTGAATATGTCCAGGTAACAGAGAGAGAGGACCGTGTGCATGTGAAGAGCCAGCTAAAGTACTGCTGGGAAGAGCGCCAGCTGCAGTGAAATGGGAAGCATCTGGCTGAGTGGCGAGAGGGAGGAGAACAGGAAGAGGTGATGCAACATGGGAATTCTTGCATTGCCAAGTTAGTCTTGTAGCAGACTCAGAGTCCGACAACATGCCCACGAACTGCCCACTGACACAAAACTGATTGCTTGACTGCAACACAACTTCAGTCTGCTTCCAAACTAAACGTTTACAGGGAATCGGCTGAGAGCTCATGTATTTGCTAGCGTGTTTGTACATCGGTACCTTTATCTATCGAGGCGCCTGCCATGTGATAGAAACTCAATGCGGTGTCGACATCATTGACATTCTTGAGGAAGGTGAAGAAGTTCTCCACTTCTTCAAACGTGATGCCCTGCGAGAGAGAGAAATGGAGAATGCTAAAATTAACTGCATTACTAAAGCAATTCATTCAGTTGAATACTTTTATGACACATCTGGTCATTCAGCTCGGTTAGTAAAGACTGTTGAGAGAGTGAAATGAACGTGAGATGACATTAGCTCTAAAATAGAGCTGAGAAAAACATGCTGTGTTTGCAGAGCGTTGCATAAAGCCTGTAAATATAGTTTTAATATCCTCTTAATAAGAGGATAAAATTACCGAACGAGAGACACATACGCATAAAAAAAAATCCCAAAGGATGACGCAACGCCTAAACACATCTGTCTGAAAGCGTTTGGCTTTTAATTGGAGGAATGTAAAAATCCAATTTTTTTGTGAATTGTTTTTGAGAGAAATTATTTAAGCAAGGATACATTAAAATGATCAAAAAGTGAGAGTAAAGACTTACATTGTTATTAAAAATCTTTCAAATAAATGCTGTTGGTTTGAACTTTCATCAAAGAATCCTGAATAAAAACCTCACAAAAATACTAAGCAGTACAATTACTGATGCTAATGATTGAATATTGATAATTACAAGACATGTTTTTTGAGCACCATATCAACAAACAGTTATTTATAATAGAATATGACTGATATTTTGGAAGCATTGTTCTTCATTTCCAATTGACTGGAATTTCAACAGAGGCGACGGAAAAAGAACTTGATGCCAGTTTTCATGACATGCCAGGTTAGGATGTATGTTTGAGCGGGAATGGGAAAAGATTGCAAGAACACAGGCACTCAGTCACATTAAAAGTTGGAGAAGAATGTGAGGACTCACTGTGTTCTTCTAACAGTGACACCTCTCTCACATACACACACAACTTTTTCAGACTGGCGGATCGCCCACCTGAGCATCCTTGAACATCCTTTTGAGGTTCTTCTGCATCTGTTTGAGTTTGCGAGACTGAACTCCACTGTAGGCCAGCAGCATTCCTCCAAACTGCTTCTCTGTGATCCTGCCGTCCACTGGATCATTCCTCTCAAACTACAGACACAGACACACAGACAGACACAGACACACAGAGAGAGAGAGAGAGAGAAGGAATGCTGAATAATGGCCTCAGAAGTTAATCTTGTGCTCAGCTGGTCAATATAATTTACAATTCATGTTCAGCTGAATACTTAAGCGTGGGCACAGCTATGCCAGGTCATAAAGGATCGGAGGATTTAAAGTATCTGACAGCAAAAGTCGAATGGCTCTCTCTGGTTAGAATGCATTAGGGTTTGACCATTAGACTCATCTAAAATGGAAATTCAGCCATTACCTACTCAACCATTGTGAATGCGTCAGGTTACTGCCATTGAAAGCCAGGGTGGAAAACTATTATGAACTTCAATCTGTGTCAGTTTCTAATAAAGAAACTGCACATTCATAGTGTGTTTATTTATAGATTTTGCATAGAAAGTGGTGGGTACAGTAGGGTGTATAGATGTGCTGGTTGCACTTAGCTCATGAGTAATTATTAGGCAAAAATAACAAACATGATCTACTGTTTTGATGATGTATTGATCTGGACATCAAGGTCCAGTTGCATAAACATAGTCACCATGTAAATCTGAAATGTAAACAATAACAATGCAATTAGGAGTCCAAAATATGATTGAAATAGCAATTGGCATGAAATTAAAATTCACCTATTTTCTAAATGCATGCAAATTTTTAAACAAAACCTCATAACTCTTCCAGTAAAATGAGAGTTTTCTCTCTGGTAACATTTGCCAGACTTCTCAAATTATTCAGTCAGACAAAACCCTGACCTTTTCTTAAAAAAAAAAAAAAAAAATCTGCAAGCTCGCATTCAGATCTGCCAATTTTTCTCACAGTATTTACTCAAAATTCACAAAAGCTGTGCAAAAGTTTCAGGCTACTAGTATTTTCAGTATTATTAACAATTTTCTAAGTCGGTTATTTCTATCTTTTGCTGTAGTGTGTCAGTAGGAAATATCAGTTTAGATTTCCAAACATTCATTTTGCTATTAATTGTAATAATCCAGTGAGATTTTTGTATGTCAGCAGCCAGTGCTCCACACAGAGATCTGATCATCATTCAGTCTGTCTGGAATGACACGAAGAAACAGAACAAACTGAGACAGATGATACCATTATTTAGACCAACATGGAAGTTTGTACTTCTTGGTAATATTTTACCGTCACAAAATGTCTAACTAGCTGCAGTGTATAAAGACATACGCTTGTAGGTTTTCTTGAATATGTGTGTGAAAAACAGAATAAATTACAATTGTTACAGGCCTTACAAAATTGGTCAATGTCACATCAAACAGGATGAAATGAAGACAAAAAAACGTGAACACCTGAAAGGCAATTACAACAGAGTAAACTGCTCTTTGGTTTTAAACAAACAAAGTGTTACACACACACACACACGTCTGGTCAGCTATCCTTGTGGGGACTCTCCATAGGCATAATGGTTTTTATACTGTACAAACTGTATTTGCTATCACCCTACACCTAAACCTACCCCTCACAGGAAACTTTCTGCATTTTTACTTTCTGAAAAGAACTCATTCTGTATGATTTATAAGCTTTGTACCCATGGGGACTTCAATTTAGGTCCCCACCGTGACACGAGTCCCCATGAGTCTGTGTGTATTCAGGTTTAAGTCCCCACCAGGATATATAAACCAGTACACACACACACACACACTTGTCTGGTTAGCTATCCTTGTAGGGACTTTCCATAGGCATAATGGTTTTTATACTGTACAAACTGTATTTGCTATCACCCTACACCAAAACTA